AGAAGAAGCTCCTGCTACCTACAAATAGCTATCAGGAGCTGTTATTGGTGTGGTAATACTTTCTAAGTAGGCAAGCTAAACATGGCTATCCCAGCTTGTCTTGTGATGTACATAATAACATCTCATCTCAAAATAAATGGAAGTCAAACAAAAAAAAAGTTACATTTTTTGCTAGCTTAGCAATTGTAATGTCTGGGATCAATAGTCACTGTTTTTATGTTTTCTTTGAAAAATGCTTGTTGCAAAGCTCAACTGTCCCAATACTCAACCTATGTCAGCCACTTTTATTAAGGATATTTACTCAAGTATTGTAAACCATGCCCCTTATAACAATGTGTATATTCTTTAAGAAAAAAAAAAGATATATACATGTTAAATATATATTTATAATATGTACACGTGTAAGTGAACCCTTTAAAAGGTAATTAAATCATAACAACAACTACAACTTTGGTATTATAAAACTAAATGTAAAAGCTTAAATAGGCCAAATAAGAAGCCCTCCTCTGTTGGGGAAGAAGCCCCCCAGGAACCTTGCCTCATGAGTTATTTTGATCAATACAAACTTGTTACTTATGTGTAGGGGTAACTCCAATTCCAACAGAAATTAGGTATCATTAGTACTTTAAAGAACTGCATAAAGTACATGAAGAATCATGCCTTGATAGTGCTTCTTAAGAGACACAGAGCCTTTTGAAGAACCATTTAAGAACTGTTCTATTTCTGCGAGTGGTGGTGAAGTTTGGGGTCTACTCAGTCATCAGGATTACACTGCATGGCACAGGCATCCCATATAAACCCTGCATGTAGAATTCTGTAGATCTGTATTAAACATCTGAAGTAGAACACCAACCAGTGCATGCTGGGCAAAATTAGGCTATTGATTATTGCCATGAAGAAAAGAACACTTAAAGATTCTCAAATCGAACCTCCAACACACATTGAGATTTCAGGAACTGCAAACCCAGGAGCTGAACCCCTAAAAGACCCTTCTGTCAGCTGATCCTCAGACTCAGTGGCCAGACAAGACTTTAGATCAGGACTGCTCTCCAACCGGTGATCAGAGTCAAACAAACTATTACAGTGACAAAAAATGCTTAACTTGTACATTTGCATGATTAAACCAAAACTAAAAGCAAACTTTGCTGTCTGGCCCTAAATCATGGAAATTAAAAGGCCGAATATGTCTTTGATGCAAAGCAGAGACAAATCCTGACAAAATACAGACTCCGTGACCACAGTCTATCCACAGAGAAAGGACGACACAGAAAGTTGTGATTAGCAAAAGAAGAAAGAGTTTGTGGTCACTAAGGTATAGATGGAGATGCACTTTCCCTAAAATGCAACACAACAAGGACATATGAGAGGAATACTGTAAAAAATTTGACTCATTAAGCCCAAACTTCACAGAACTAGATGACAATAAAAAGCAACATTTTCTGTTAAGAGAGGGATACGCAGCACCTGCACAATATGAAACTGCATAAGTGATATTCAAAATATCAATGAATATGGAAATTGTGTTGACATAGTCTATTATACATATGGCAAATACACATGAGACACTTACTGGTTTTTTTCTTCTTTGTAGACATTCTAGTCTTGTTTATGTTCATTATTCCACTTAAGTAATAGTGATTTTTTTTGTCTTTTATTTATTTAATTATTTTTTAAAGCTACACCATCCTTAATTCATGAAATGTATCTGTAACATGCCTACAAAATGAAACTAAAAACTTAAAGCTGGCTTTATCCAATGTTCAGATTGCTGTTATGGAAATTAATGCAAATTAGGATTGCAAAAGATTACAGCAGTGGTTTTGGCATGTAACTATTTAATACAGTGCTCGAGGTTAAGATAAGTAAAATCATTCATATTTCATGATAAAGTAAAGATTAAAGATGACAACTTTTTTTCTGCAGTATTTTTGAGCACTTTAAGTAAATTTGACTGATAATTGGCTTCTTAGTGCTTCATCTACGAGGGATTTTGAATGCACAGTTCAAACTTCATTTGTTGATATGACAGTTTTCTGAAGATCGTAGTTCTAAATTTCGGTAAATAAATAAGAAAAACACATTTCACATTTTCTCACCTTGGCCACAATAAGCATTATCCTTGAAACGTTACTGGGTTTCATCACATAAACAATAAATCAAATCAACCAAGACACAGCTTTCTTAGTGACTGGTAAACAGATAATTATTAATCTGCTTTTCTTCTTTTCATTCTGCCCTCCATTAGACCGTTGACACTGTGTCTGGGTGACCTGATCTACCCCTTAATCCACTGGATGATACTGCAGAGTGACACTGACAAGATTTCTGTCTGATAGAAACACAGCTGAAGTTTGTCTTGATTAGACACACATTCAGAAATGAGAGAAGATCTACTTCACACACCAACATATTGATGAGGTATGCTGAATAGATTGGTGAGCGCTCCTACGGAAGATCATATGTTCTACCTGTGCCTGCGGGGGTTTTTCTCCAGCTGCCTTAATATTAGTGATTAGAGGTTATTTAGCCCTGCGATAGACTGGCGACCTGTCCAGGGTGTCCCCTGCCTTCGCCCTAAGTCGGCTGGGATAGGCTCCAGCCCCCCCGCAACCCTAGTGAGGATTAAGCAATGTATAGATAATGGATGGATGGATGGATGGAGGTTATTTAGTGATTTTTACTTAACAGTCTGTGATAGACTAGACACCTGTCCATGTCTCACCCAATGTGAGCTGGGTTAGCCTGCAATCCTCTGTGACCCTCTGCAGGATAAACCAGGTTTAGCTAATGGATGGATGATGTTAACAGAACAATACCTGAACTTCCAGATATTGAATGTGGAGGTTGTGTTTTGGTCCTTGTCCTTTTCCCCCCAAGTGAGTGTTTTTGTGTGTACAGTACAGTACAAGGAGGAATGTCTTTACTTCAGAATATACTTACAGGTAAAAGTAAACACCATGCAGAATAAGCAGTTTAAAGATGTGTGTTATTTTATTTAATGATATAATTTTCAATAGTAATTAAAATTTGTTAAGTAACTAGCAACTAAAGCTGCTGTATAAATACAGTAGTATTAGTGATGTATATAATGTATGTGCTTTAAGATTTTGATGGATAAAAAGATTTTTTATGTAATTGTGCTGAGGATAATGGATGGATAAATGGATACATTTTGGACTTCCTACATCGATCCATCCATTTATTTTCTTATCTAAAGTTAGGCACTGGGTGACTTTTTTCAAATGAATCATCAAAATAGCCATATAGATGGTTTCTCTGGACTATAACGAAAGCTTGAAATTTGTTATTTTACCCACACTGCTAATGTAGTATAGTGTGCATAGCTGTTTGTCACATGTAGGGGGACAACATTCAAATAAATTCAATTTACCTATACCTGTTGATAACAGTAAGAAATATTTCCCCTCTAGCTATAGCAGCAGCAGCAGCAGCATCTACTATAGGCAACTGTAATTAGATTATAACAGTCATTACAACCAGTCATTCTTCCAGGTAGGCTCTGGATTTGAATGTAATCTGGGATTTGGTGGCTCAGTGCTGAGTGGTGTGGAAACCCAGGAACTAGCCTGCAGTTTACCTTATATACAATGTCATATACTAGCTGGTGAGACAGACAGACAACAACTGAGAGTGTACGAAAGGTAGATTGCATGAGGAGTTGTGTAATTTAAGTGTAATGCTGGACCATAACAGTCTGGTAATTACAGGTGTGCTTGGAGTATTATTGTCTGTCCACTGGGAGACCCATTCTCAGACTCCCAGCATGTTATTTCCAGGACTGTGCTGGACGTAATGGTACACCTGACAGTTTGAAACTAAAAAGTATGCTACTTAACATTTTATGACTGTCCAGGAATAACCCACTCTATACCTTTGAGAAAGCCTGCTGGCGTGAATGAGCTGAAACTCTCAATACAGCTTTAATATGAATAAAAAAGAGATGAAACTGGGAAACGTGTGCAAAAGAAAGATGGGTAAAATTAAATTAAATTAAATTAAAATAGTTTAATTAGCGAACAGTCCCATGCCGTTATGTAAACACCCCACTTGAACTCTGTCAGTCCACCACACACCACTCGCCCAGGTGTTCGCTCATGTCATGACGTAAGCTCATCTCGTCACTCATTCGATATTAGTAGAGGATTACATTTATTCTCAATCCCACACTCACACACACCATCCATGCGCTCCTCATAGAAGTTCACGCGCTGTCTGCCAGGGACCATCTAAGGTAGCAGGCGGTCAGGTAGCTGTGTGCCACCAGCTGAAGTCACAGGAGTTTCGTCTACTTTGAATGTGACAAGCCCATGGAGGCCTACTGCTCATCAGGCTGCTAACTGAGGCTTTACCAAACAACTGGTGGATTTCTGTCAGACAAGAATACATTACAGCTTTGTAAACCTAGTTTCATGAAGGTAAGACTACAACTTGAAATTTGTAAGAACTGTTTTTATACCTCTTATAAGTAACATTTTACTTCAACAGTCAGTTAAGGTTTTATAGTAGTTTAGAGCTGCCTGTCCAAGAATGGAAACTAAAATGGTCTAAACACTATGATTAAGCCATTTCCATCCAAAATCTTGTATAAAAACTGACTGCTGAGGTGATTTTAATTGTCTCCAAATGATTTTTTGGCTTTAAAACTACAACCTAAAATATGAATTTGCTTAAAGTTATATGTGATGAATGTCACAACTGCTTATGAAGGATATTGTTTTTCTTTCTCTTTCTTAAACTGTGACATAACTGTCCAACAAATCTTTGCTTTTCTCAGATGTTTCCTTGGTCTGCTGTTTTCTCCCTCGAGCCCAAAGTGCCCGGCCAGCGCAGCACTGAGGAGCTGGTAACCAACACTCTGATGCTGGAGCTGGGGGCCATGGTGAAGCGCACTGAACGCATTCGTTTGGAGAGGGCGACGGAGGGTCGCCGTCGCCGCCGCAGCTCTTCCTCCACAGCTGACTACAGCTGGCTGGCGAGCGCGCCGACCCCGCAGCCCTACGAGCTCACTCCCAATGACCTGCTGGAGCTGCAGGACCTCTGTGCCAAGATCCCTCCTGCACAGTGTGGCCCCGCAATCGTTAGGTAAGAAAGACAGGGAGGGATAGAGGGAGACATTGTAAGAAAAAAATAGCAGGAAAAGGTGTAACTGAAACAGATAGTATGAAAAACCCGAAGCCAGAGTGAAACAGAGATAGATGCAGAGACAGTTATAATATTAGATGCTAAAACAGACAAGTAGATAAAACAAGTCTGGGACTAAGAGCATGACATTCAGATAGGAACGAAAAACTAGCTCAGATCTTTTGTCAACAAAATTAGACATGATGTATATGTATATGATAAGGTCTCCTTTCTGCGTAATCTTTGAGTCAGAGTTTCTACAACAATATGAAACAGAAGAACAGAGCTGCAGGGCTTCAATCTAATCCCTATAACACCCTGTGCAATAACTTGCTGATACTCTCAGATCCACACTCTTACATTTTAAATGCCCATGATAGCCTACACAGTGCTCAAACACATGTCCTATTCTGCTCATAACTAGTTTAGCTTTGCATTTAGCTGAATGGATCAGCCAGTGATGTTTCTTAAGTAAAAATGCTGTCAGCTGTGAGTATTTGCTGGTTTTATTACTGTCCAGTGAGAGCAAACTTAATACCGCTGGATGCTGGACTCTCAGTCAGATAAAACATGCAAGTGGATAAAAATTATGTACAAATAAATTGTGATGCGCATTTTACATGATTTTCATCAAAACTCAGGTATCATTGCTGACCAGCAACTATCACCTCTGTAGACAAGTCCTCATTAAATTATGTTTTGCACAGGTTGTCCTTTTTCCAACCTATGATGATGAAATCAGAGTTCATATCTTACCAGGGGCATAGTAAGGGATTTTGGTCCCCTATGAAGAGGCTGCCTGTATGCTGGTAGTGCCTCTTCTTTGTTGCCTGTCTAACCTTGTTTCTGTTGTTTCGCCTAGACTGTAAAAGACCCTATGAAAGTGTCAACCCATATCACACTTATTCCTCCCCCTGCAGGTTCAGAAGACTGGTGTCGCAGATGGAGCCCGAGGTTCACGAGGTTCCCCGGCTGTTTCGCTCAGTGCTGCGTGAGTGCGCAGATGAGACAAGTGGGAACGACGTCGTTCAGACTCAGGACCCAGTGTATGAGAAGCAGCAGCGCAGCAAGAGTCTGTCTTTCGTTACTTTTCGCACAAAGTTCCGCACTGGGCATTTCTTAAAGGGCAGCAGCATGAGAGGCTCCAGGGGGAATCTGCAGCAGCAGGTGGATTGGTCCGATGAAGAAGAGGATGGAGAAGGGGAGGAGGAAGCCATCAAGGCCCGGGCGAGGAAGGGAAGGAGCAAGAGCATGCCAGAGATCACCCCTTTGGAGCAGAGTGCTCAGGGTTGAGAGAAGAGACAGAGAGATAGTGAAGAGGAACTGGTACGAGGGAGGGGAAGAGTGAGGGAAGGAAAGCAAGCCTAAATTGTAGAGAGTGAGCATAAATATGGGGAAGGACAGAGGGGGGAAGGAAGCTTTCAGGGAAACGGGGGAAAGAACAGATCTGAAAACGTTCTTCTTTCAAAAGCTGGAGAAAAGTCAAGAGAGTGGATTTTAATAGATTTCTCTGTTTTCCGCTTAGTCCAATCCAAAAGCTCTATTGTTCTGGTTTTAAGATATCTAAAACATTTTTGTTGCATCTGGTCATTGCATAAACTCCTAAAAACTCATCTCGGTGTATCAAAATTTCAAAGTTAGAAATCTTTCCATGAAAATAATGCTTTCCTGCCGAAGAATGCACTCTAAAAAGTAATTCAGAGAGCCTATTTTGACCACTTGATTAAATGCATGGCTACAAGATTAACAATATAATTTGCTAATTTAGACAAACCTTTTAAGTTGCAAACATTATTTTTTCAGTTGGGTTGATGTAATAATGTTGGTAATTGCATTCGCATAATATTGTGATAATATAAGCTCAGACTTCTCAACTCAAAACTAAATTCAGGTCAAGGTAACCTAACTGGCTTGATAACTTACTTTTTCTCCACCCTGAGTTCAGGATTTAAAGTCTCCTCCTCAATCTTAACATGGCTCAGCGGTTCAGACAGGTAATACCTTTAACATCTCTAATTCCAAAAACTCAGCACAGTTTGTTGGTTGAACATAACTTTGTTAGAAGTTGTCAGAATTCAAAACACTAATGCAAATGGTTGCATGTTTTTTGTTTGTTTGTTTGTTTTTTGAGCCTACTGAGAACATTGTTTTTGAGAATGGGGCTTAGACGTAACTCTACACTGTTGCTTCCTCTACAGTGTGCAGATCTGTGAAGTCCCCACCTCTCTCTCCACTTAGTTCTCCCTACTCAAGCACACCAGCTCACCCAGGACTCTCAGCTACTTTATGTTACACCCCACAAGTTGACAGGATCGGTTTCTCTGTGTTGTTTAATATGAAACCTGAGAAGTTTGAATCCTTGTTTTGACAGTCCTCGGTACATTTGGAAATGCTAGGCGATGGTTTGATTGCTTATTTTGCTCATTATGTGTCTTCTAACATCTAAACATCATCATAAAGGATTTGTTAAGAAGATTTTAAAAAAACACTGATTTCCAACGTAGGGGGTCTTCAACATGGAGATGTTTAGCAGCAGGTGTAAATAGTAGCATGGTAATATTTTGTAATCAACAATAAACACTAAGGTGTTTAGCTTAGTTTATTTGGTTATGACTTAAACAAAATAAAATTTTGACCTGAGGATGGCACTACATTAAACGGTCAAAGACCACCGGAGATCTTACATTTTATCCAAGAGGGGACATCAATATGTGAACCAAATTTTATGTGTGTACATAGTTTCATGGCAGTGATTCTTCACACGTTTCTGTCTCTAGTGGACCGACAGACAGACATCGTTCCCATGAGTCATACTAGTGTTATGAGTAAAACCTCCTGCATTACTAACCTTTGCATGCTTCAGGTATCTCTAAAATCAAACATGTTATGCAAGGGCTTTCTGAAGAACAGCTCCTGATGAATCATAAACACGCCTCATGAACTGTCCCTTTAAAAGCATGTTATGCAACACACAGGACAGCTGTATTCTGCTGTAGAAGGAAGAAGTTCAGCTCAGGTCGCACGTCGCCGTGCACTCAGCAGCCACAGTTTGGCTCCAGATCCTCAGCCTCGTCACTGGTGCTCTACCATTAGGCAAATAACTTGGAGGCAGGGAATAACTAGAATCGTGTCTAATGTTGTTTTTTTTATTGTAAATATTACGTGTTTGCGGAAATAGATATACATTGTCTCTTCTGTGTGATTAAATCGTTGCTTTTTTTCATGAAGATGTCTATTTGTTTTGATTTAAATATACAATGAGTGTAGTTTTGTAACATTTGAGACTAAATGATTCTGCAAAGTGCAAATTTTTAAAGTCTGGTTCTGTAAAATGAGTTTGAAGAGGTAAACTGTACATGTGCAAAGTCTTTGTGTTATAAACATGCTGAATATTACCTGCAGCGCTGCTCTGTCATAACCCAGCTCGGCTAAGTATATCACTGCTGACTAATCCTCTTATCCCGAGAAAATCTCAGACATGAATGCCAGCACCCAATTATTATTTTATTAATGTGCACTTCCTTATCAATACATCATTATAACTATTTGCACTTTATACACTGAAGTCAAGGCATTTGGCTAAAAAAAAGAAGAGGAAAAATAAGGGGCAATGTCTTCTTTCTTCTTAAAAATGCTGTAGTCATTTAAATAACTGTACATTGGATAGATAAAGAGGGGGAGCACAGACGTCCAACCAGACACTTCCAGGGAATCTGGCTGATTGAGTCACTTCATGAGTGGGCCTTCACAACCAGCATAACCCCTTCATAAGCTCTGATCCTCTCTGCAGCACTGAATAAGTGAGGTCTAAACCTTTCCGACAGGTAAACCTGCCTGATGGCTGGCAACCAGACAGGTGTATTTAAAACCAGTGCTGTTACATCAACATTTCGTACAGCTCGTGCCTCAACTACACCAAAATCTTCCCTTCGGCGGGCTGCGACTGCCTTCTTGTGCCTTTAGGATCACAGCAAGTGTCTTCGTAATGTGTCACAGTTCAACAAAAGTACCCATTTGGCAAATAAACCTCAAAAGCAGAACAGAATGTAACCGGATAAAAAAATATTGAACATGGTAACTGAAGGGTGGTTGGTTAGGAATTACTCAGAGACACAGTCATGCTCTTTCAATAAAAAGTAGGTAAACTTAGAAGCACAAAAATGTACGGACAAACTCCAGTTTTGTTTTTTGGCTTTGAAATAATAATAGAGAATGAAATGTGGTAAAGCAGGAAAAAAAATAATAGTAATTATAAGACAGTTTGCAGAATCAAACCATTAAATTATAGCCATTTTGATTAAATGTTTATGAATAGTTGGTCAAAGTACAACACAGAGTAGTTTCCCTGCTCTCTCTCTATACAAAGTGGGGATTTTTAGACAATATATTTCTTTTGTTTTTTTGGACACAGTTCAAGATTTTCATTCTTCACTGAACTGTGGAATAAGATCAAGAGTCTGTGGCATGGGAATAACCGAAATGTCTTTAATCGTCCCAAGCCTCCATCAAACCGTGACAGAAAGGTCTGTCCTCCAAACACTTCATCTGGACACGTCGTCTCAGTCCAGCTTTAGTTTTATTTCCTCTCATCTGATGTGCTTTCCCCTCCCCCCCTCCAGCCGCTCCTCTTTTCTTTAAGCGAAGAAGACGACAAAGATGATGAAGAAGACGATGAGGACGAGAAATATCTTAATCATCAGCCAGCGGTTGGAGGAGACTGACTGGAAATATTTGAGGATCTCTGTGTGCGCGGCCTCCACGTTCAGCTGGGTGTCCTCCACGTTAGCGTCGATCCTGTGAGAACAGACAGGACCGTTAGTGCATCTAATCATCCAAAATGATGAATTGTTGAGTAACCACTACAATATTTGTCAGTACAACATGCAATTAGTTTTTATATGAATTTTGCCTGCATTTCCCATATGTTAATACCAGAAAATATCTTTAATAACACTCTAAACCTCTTATTTATTCATTTAAATGGCCAAAATGACCCCATTAACCAGCAAGAAACTGTAAACACAGATCAAATCATCAACTTTATTTACTAAAATGTCCAGAATATTTTGGTAAAATACACTATATTAGATAAACACCTACAGATATTTTACCATTTAGCCACCATTTCTCCTGTTATTGTACAATATCTGTGGGCACTTGGAAAAATGGTGTACATGTTGACTCCAGGTTTCTTTAAAATTTCTGTAAAATAAATAAAGAAATAAACTTTGGGGTTTTTTTTCTTTTTATGATTTAGGACAGAGCTGTCATAACGCTCCGAATACAATTTTTTTATTTCACTCAACTTCCATCCATGGTTTTGCTGTTTTTATGCAGGTGCAAGACTTTATGTTGCAGCAAAAATAAGCCCAGTGAGTAAAAATGTGACAGGAACAAAAAACGCCCAGAAACTGTATGGGCTTCAGAGAGGTGACGCTGTGACTGCGATTCCAAGCACATGAAATATTTTCTAAACTGACATCACACTCATGATCACTATAAGCTATTTCTCCTTTTATCCCCCCTAAATTTTGTATCTCGTAAATATCGTATTTCCGTCCTCAATTTCTTACTGACCTCTGGATGGTTTCTTCTTGCTCCTTGACCATGTGTGCCAGCTGTTGGAATATAGAGCCCAGCTCCACGATGGTGCTCTCAATGTTCTGCATGGTGTCTGCACGGCTCTGGATGTATGAGTCCTGTAGCCAGCAGGATTTTAGGAAAGGACACAACCGAGCATTTTAGTTTAGTATTTCTGCAAAGTTAATGTTGAATTGATGTCCTTCTTATGAAAGGGATTTAAATAAAAGTACACATCAACTGACTTAAAAATTGAACTGTCCATCTACCCTACCTGCTCATCAATAAGTTGGAGTTGCAAGGGATTGCTCTGAGAGTCCATATCGATGGCCACATCCCCCATGCTCCGGGACTCATCCTGCATCAGGACCGAGCTCTCTGAGGGGAGACAACAAGCAAAAAAACACACCCATGTTCAACGACATCAGACAGAAATCCTCAATGGTAGAGGGGAAAAGCAGAAAAGAACAGCGGGCACATACAGTAGCTAGTCATACCCGCTGGGAGAGTCAAACGTTCCAGGGAAATACCTTTTAAATTTGTGGTTGTATAGCCCTGGTAGTCATTGCGCGGCTCGCGAGCTGCATGCGGCTCCTGGGCCCCTTTTTTGCGGCTCCCTAAAATATTTTTTAATTTTTACATTATAAAGGACCAAATACAGTGATAATCATTCACAAGGACTTTGAGCAATTCCCTATTACAACAGCTGTTGTTTTGAAAAGTACACTGGCAGTCAAAACATCTCCACAAACTTCAGAAATTCAAGCAACATGCCCAATGTAACACCATAAAACTAGAAAATATAATGAAATGGGTAAAAGTGTATGGAAAATAATTCCATACACTTTTAAGTCAAGGTCAAAATGAGCTTGATTATGATTTCATTTTTCTTATCAGAGGATGGTAGAAGTATGCAGGTTTGACTGTCTGCATTTCATAGTGTATTAAGTGTCCCATATGCTAAAAATGCTTGTGAGCAACAAGGTACTTGAATCAAGCTGGTAAAGCTACATACTTAAACCATCATTTGTCAAGAAAAACTAAATCATAATCAAGCTCATTCTCAATTCGACATAGCTTCGTCCCAAAATCTTAATTTTCCTGGTGTTTACAACGAGCATTTTGTTTGAGATTCAGCCAAAAAAGCTGAACTGAAGCCTGTACGTGAACATTTCACTGGCAGTGTTAATTCATGCACAGGAAGCAATTGAGCTCCCTGTGCTCATTAGAGGGTCTCTGGTAATTAGCCTCTTTAGCAAAACATTAAGCAAAACGAGGAACTGAGCAGGAGCCACACATGCCGAAGCCAAAACTAAGGAACATTAAAGGTGTGTTCACTCTATTACGTTCTTTGAAAGTGACAGCACAGTTTTTTAGATGAAGAACGATCAACGGTTTGGGATCGACTTCTTGTTCGTATTCTTAGAGGAGTGCAGATGACCATGCATGAAAGGCCAGACCGGTGACTGTGACACCAGAAACCTTGAACCATTGGCTGCGCTACAGGAGATAATGTTTAGGTTGTGATTTGATTGCACACAAAAATGTGGCTGAGAGTTAACTTTTCATACAAACAATAGGAGCATAGAGTGAACACTCCATCATGAAGTTACAACAGCATATTTTGTTTACCTGTGGTTACCATTACTTCAATACGAGACCCTTGTTTAAATCACAGTGAGCGACTACAAGCATGAAGCTAAGATGCAGATGGACTTACTGAAGTTGTTGGCCATTAGAGGAGAAGACGACGCAGGAGGCTGTGAGAACTGCTCTCTCCTGCTGCGCTGCTGCTTCAGGTTCTGCAGGGCAAGAGTCAAATGACGGAACGTTAAATAGAGAAGGAACCTTAATCCAATTTAAAAGTATTTTCTGGCTTCAAATAACAAAGAATATCAAATGCTTCTCACCTCTGTTCGGACTTCCAGGACTGATTTGAAGTCATTGGACATCGAAGCCAGTTTGGACTGTAGACAGCAATGAATAAAGCAAAGTTAAACAAAGTGCTGCTTCGTTACATCTATTTTTGTTGCTACACTTCACCAACATGTTTTGATGATAATATATATAAAATATAAACTACTGAAAATGTATTTTATTGCATGTGCACAACTGGATTTAAAAAGGTTCAACAAAAACACTAAAACTTTTCAACCTCATTTCTTTTCAGACAAATTCTCGCAAACAACCAAAAAGTCACATTTAGCAGGTAATAAACAGCTTCATGTTCTCCATGCACACATACAATATAGTGTAAATTAGAACTTCATCAAATCACCTGTAATGACACCACTATAGTGTTTGAGTGAGTTTGGATGTGTCGTCCCCCCGGAGCTCCGCGAGATCTCACCAAGTCCTGCAGCTGTGCTATCTGTTTGTTTAGACTGTTGATGTCCTAAAAACATTGAAAAACACAGGAGAGGGAGAAATCAGTGTATATAGTTTCATTATATATTTACAGGAGATGTTTACATGGGATGTTGACAGTTCAACTCACTTGTTTAATAATGTATGTTAGCTCCTCGATCTCCACTGCCTTGTCGTCAAATAGAGATTTTCTTTTTGCCACTAAAACATCCAAACGACACACAAGCAGCGTCAGCACTTTGGACGATATCACACACACACACACATTTAAAATAACATTGAAACAACAATAAATGAACACTTACAGATTGTGAGCTTTTCCAATTTGGCAAATGTGTTACTCAAGTCTTTTCCAATTCTCCTACAAGGACACAATCAGAAATGACACTTTCTTAGTCGTGCACATACAGACTACTCCAGCATTTGGCTTGTTGACATGCATACCACAGTTAGATAGATAGGCAGATTACAACATTTTTTTCTGCCTTCACACAGCTTTTAAAGTAACACAGATTCCGTGAACCAATCTCGCTAATAAAAATTCTGAGCAATTTTACATATTACAAGTGTGGTAAGGTTTATATATGCCGCAATGGATGAGGAGGATAATAAAGTAACACCCAATATCAACATAAAAGAACGAGTGCATTCAGCAAATATTTTAAGCTGTTCAACCACTAAAGTAAACAGAATATGAGGAACTTACTTGGCCATAACTGTGAAGTCGCTGCGCTGCCTGAGTGCGCTGAGAGCTGGTTTACTGGGCTGGACACCATTCTGCCAAAAGAGGCAAAAAGTAGAAAGCATGAGATAGAAAGATATGCTTAAAAAAAAGAGGTCAATGACTAACTCAAGATATGACTGCAGAACTCATTAACTGGTTTCAGAACTAATCAATCAGGGAACAGGGATTGATTTCAATTCAGTCGTCCTGGTCAACACTGTGGCCAGTTGAGAAGTAAAACCTTTAAATATTTCCTGGTTATAATTCGTCTTTTACTATCAGTTCAAAAATAATATGACCTTTTTAATCAAACCAAGTAAACAACTTCCAACGCTGTCACGTTTGAGTACTACTTACTTGTAATTATAATCACTTCTCACACTGGATTACTGAGGTCTAGATGTGATATTTTAGAGTTGAAAAAAAGAAACATCTAAAAAATGAATTGGCCAATAATGTACCATTGAAAAATAAACATCACCTCAAACTTGTCTTCGAAATCCTGCAGTGTTGTGTTTATATCTGCTGATATATTTGTAACACTACTATCTGCCACTTAATGAGAAGAGCTCATTGACTGCCATTCACCTTTATTTTTGAGAATGGCCAATGATATTTTGTCACTAGTTGGGGATTTACTGTAGGGCTGAACCATGAAGCGATTGATCATTCTACACTAGATGGTTCGGGGGGCTCAGCTGACGTACAGCCTCATTATTTTAAAGCCTTCTACACTGACACATTTCAAACACAGTCAAAAGCATAACTGTCACACAGAAAGGATCTATTACATAGTGCAAATTTAACTAAAAAACGTCACAAATCAAATCACAATACCAATCAAAAAATGTTGTTTATATTTAAATACATTTATCCAAAATGATTGGCCCTTAATAAGTAACACAGACGTTTCAACACAGCCCAATGAAGACAACAAGAACAACAACAATACTAATTTATGCTAAACTTCCCCGAAATTGTGCAAAATAAAAAAAAAAAGAGAGAGAGTAGGCCAAGGTTGTTTGGATGTTTGTTGCCTGGGTGACTTTACTAAATGAATCTATTTCATTATTCAATATGGAGTCAAAACAGACAGCAGAGAGAGAAGTAATAAAGCAACCAAAACCAAAAGTAATCTGTCTACAGTCAAATTGACGGTAAGTACCTAAAAAACACATCGGTGTACTTCAGGCAGTTTTACCTACTTTTGACCCTAAGTGATCCAGCTGTTATTGTGTGGCGGTGACTGGTGTTTACCCCAACATACCTGACTGCCCTGGAGAGATTTGCAGGCTGATTGGAACTCGAGGGTCCGGTCACGGCACGTCATGTTGCTGCCGTTAAAGGGTCACCAGCTGGCTGAAGACCACAAACCACCTGGAACTGCCTGTCCCTCCTTTGATGAATAAATAGGAAGATCTCCCGAAATGCGGACAAAATCACATCCAAGGTGGGGTATCCTTCATGGACATATGTACACACATGTCTGCGGTAACGGGAAAAAACAACTGTTAGCCTCACAGATCAACAGATCCTATTTGATCAGGCGGCTCCGTTAGCACCGACAACACGACTAATGAGAGACCCACTAAACCGCAACATCAAGGCAATAGATGGTACATAACGGCCCCAACTCACACATAAATCCACAGGTGAGCTAAATATACCGATCATTAGGTAACAATGATTATCTCGAGTCTGGACCGGGTCTGTCTGAGTAAAAGGCCGCCCATCACGACACAGCTGATCGCGGCCCGACCGGCTAGCCACAGGCTAACGTTAGCTCCAGAAAGCTAACCGGGCTTTTCGTGCGGTTCCTCCGGCCTTACCTCGGTGAAATTCGACCTGGACTGACCGTGTGAGGTTTATTCTTATTTAAAAGACATACAGTGATCGGTTCCAACTTACTTGAATCGATATCACACCATATTTTCACAGCCTCCGATGTTTCTGGTGAAAACTAGTCAACCTCGGAGTTAAAGTTCCGATCCGGGTCATTTCCGGCTCTGACGTCGTTGCCACGTCTACTTTACCGAGCTGGAAAGTCGGTGCAGGGTCAGACCGCCTCCAGCAGGGGGCGCCATGCGTCATGCAACCAATAGCACACCAGTGTTTACTGCCTCCACCCTCCAATCAATGGGTCCCAAGGTTATTTTATCCACAGTTTAAAGTACCTGTTCATTAGTACCACCGGCCATGTTCCACATGTTCATTTTGACAGCTTTTAAACTGGATGGTATATGATAGTATTTACATACTATAGTGAATAATATTACAATATATTTGTTTCATTTTGTTATCTGTCATTGTGTAGGTTGGTTGTTTAGTTTGCATTTGTGCCAACACTGACAGAAACTAGATGTTTCAAACATGTATCCATCTTCGGATCATTTCATTGTTTGTTCATTACTTTTACTAAGTGTATTTCTTTAGGATTTCTTTAGCTATTAAAGCTAATTCTTGGTTACTCTCTGTCTGCGTTCTGCTATTTCAAAGCATTTGTCTGTTACTTGTAGCCAACTATTTTTTATCATTAGTGTGCCATCTATATCCAGTAGCTAAATCATCTAACAATTGGTTTTAGCTATTTATTTACTTGTTTGTTTGTTTGTTTGTTTGTTTGTTTTATCGAACAAAACATCTCTCTATTAGCTTTGGTCTATTTCACATTTTTGTCCGATGCCTCTTCTAATGACTGACTATTTAAACTGTTTATCTGTTCGCTAGATATCAATTTTTTACCATTTAATCATTTTTTTTACCAGATTTTTCTGAGAAAAAAAGTTCAATATGTAATTTGTATTGTTCTGTTTAGGAAATTTTGCCAGTTGTGCACAAAAAGTTTTTGAACTGTTGAGCCAAATTCTCAACCACTGAACTCGTCCACGCCCTCATCAGTTGTCACGCCTGGGATTTTCTAGTCGATGACTCCACTCTGCATCAGTTATCATTTCCAACATAGTGTGTACTTGCTAGTTTCATGATATCAATTCTGTTCTAGAAACGATGTGTGTTGAAACAACAAATACTTATTTGTCCATGCTAAAAAGAATGGGTAGAATTTTTAAAAATATCACATGCTGCATTTATAATTTTCTGTAAAGCTACTCCACACTACGCAATGTCACGTTGTAGTATTAGAGTAATTTTGCCCTACAAACTTAAACTGCTGAGTCTGATAAAAGATAATAAGGAAAGCTCCACCCTGCAGGATTGGCTCCTTAGGTTTGCTACATATGAAATCCCAGATGTCTGAATCTGTGATTTTGAGATTGTCTCAGCACAGCAACATTAATATAATGAATGTTTGTAATTTACCATTAAAACAGTTTTGTGTGTCAACATGTGAGCCATTAAGTAATTGTCAGAGTTGTAAACAGAAATGCCCCCTCATGGTTTGTAAACTCATTCTGTGATAATTAAAATATACTCCGAAGTGGCCTGGTAATAATGTGCTCATTGCATTAATCATGATGTATTTTTCTATGTTTTATAGCTGCTTTTAACACGAACAGTATTGATATTAATGATTCTGTCCCTGGGAATACTTGTTGGATGATCAAAGACAAATTCTTATGTTGTATGCTGCCTTGCTCTGCTGAAAAATTACATGACCTCAAGTTTGTGGTAATTTAATTCATTTCAAGTGAATATGTCTCTCATGTAAGTATGATGTGGTCAACATATATACTCACATGCATAAGTGAAATAATTAATGTCTTTAAGCTAGAATTCCCCAGATATTGCACTCAAGAAACTTATATTCTCGAAAAAAAACCCAAAAAATGTTAAATTTGCACCAAACAAGTGCCAACAAAGAGTTGTTAAACTGAGTATATTTAAAAGATATTTGACTCTATAGTTTTGTTTACTACTAAGTATCTGCATAAGATGTATAACAGCTGGGAATCATTTATTAATAGTATTAGAGTAAATCGGGTCAGTTTAAGTTATGTTGGCCGATTGTAAAATTCACATTACTGGATACATTTGAGTTTCATTCACAACAGGAGAATTCTGAGCTTGATGGAGACTTGTAATCAAAACGTCCATGTCACAGTGGAACTGAAGGTGTACATTCTAGGTTTTAAACCGACAGTATCAAAAACACTGATTCATAAAAATGATCTCTTAAAGAAGATTAGAGTCAGAACAATAACTGCCACCCGCGTGTTTGACGGTTACTGACATGTTACCAATGAAAGAGAAATTAACCTTTAAGTTAGTGCGAACACAGAAGACTGAGCAGAGAACGTGATTGGCTGCTGCCTCAGGTGAGTTGACCTGCAGTTATGGTATGGAGACAGAGATAACATCCAGAAGGCTCTCTGATCTCCTCTGACTCCTACTGGTACCCGCATCCTCCGGCTGACAGGATCAAGCATGCCCAAACCACAACTATGTTCTCAGCCGTTTACCTGCTAGACCCACAACCACAAAAGCCCCAGCCCTCCACCATCCCCCCTGAGCCCTGCATCTACTTCAGCTACCCTCCACTTCACCTTTTATACTTCACTTTAATCCACAAAACGTATCTTCTTCCCTTTATGGCTTCAGACCTTATTTGATGTTACAATCTGTTTTGCTGAACAAAACTACCCACATCAGGACAGAAGAGGATGGGTTAGTTTTTAAAAAAAATAAACACACACACATCTCCTCTTGTATAATACACACTGAACAGTAAAAATCTCATCTAATTTTATCATATATATTCTTATATTGTGGATATTTTTCATGCATTGGTCAGTTAGTCCATTACTTTGGTCCTGATTGAATATGTCAACAATTTGGATGAACTTTTGTACACATGGTCATGGTGCCCAGAGGATCAATCCTACTAATGTTGATCATCTAACTTTACCTCATGTGTCACTGATTTGTTGATATTTGGAGGTTTTCCAGTGAAATGACTCAACAACTATTTGGGATTGTCATGATATTTGGTACGCATATGTCTTTCGAGAAAGGTCGTGTGGAACCTTTTAGAACCACTGGCTGGCAATAGAGTACTAGCATGTCAGACCAAAACAAATGGGCACAATTGTTTTGTGTATATGTTTCCATGGACCTGGTCAATTCGCGGATGGCCTGGAGTAGAACAGACATGAGCAGAAAAGATGAAGCAATGCAGCAAAACGGCAGCAGAGACTCTCACACTGAGCTGAAATAAAATGAAACGCACATAAATTTAGGTTAAAAATCGTATAAATAAATTACTTTGTATATAAGTTCTTTGGATTTTTGGGGCACTGGCTGAACACTGGACTGTACTTTGCTTTCACAATACGGTGTGGGAATCATTTAGTCTACCAGTTGCAAAGGGAAGGACTCACATGCACATGCTGCCGGATTGGCTGCCAAAACACACAGCGACAAAGCGCTCTGCTAATTACGGCATTACTCCACTATATCTTGACACAGCAGATCTTGTTGAGTGCTATATTATTGCAGTACAGCGCTGCCCACTTAATGTCATATCGTTTTATAGAATATCTCATTTATAATCATAGAATGTC